GAATGTCCAAGCAATTCCATTCTCTCGTCCAAATGTTCTCTTTCTAACAACAGCTTCTGCTGTATGTACTTGCATCAAATTGCATAGAAACAAATTAGAATGAGATGCCGCTCCTTCCATCCGAACCAAGAGAAAGTGTTGCAGAAATATTGAGGAAGGGTAGCAAGAGAAAATGCAGATTTCTGCAAATTAAGGCCTTTATTCATTTAATATTTTTAGCAGGAAAATTACCTCTACTGGAGTAAATCAAAGGCTCCTGTGAGCCAGCTCATGGATGAATGTTTGTTTGTGCCTCAGTTTCAAAATGAGTCTTTGTGCGCAAGTGAGTTTGATTTGTATGAAAATGAACCTTAGGCGGAAGTTTAGCCTGCACAGCCTGGCGGTTTAAGCAATTTTTTTAAAGCGATTTAAGCACAAGCTCACAAAGTGGCCAAGCCACGAAAACAAGCGGCAAAGCCGGGAGGAACTGCCTGACTGGATTACCCGCATTTTTTATTGCTGCTCCCTATTACATTTTTGACAACCCGATGACAGGTTTTGTGAGTCTCATTAACACAGATGATCAGAGCATAGATCGTATTTGTTCAGTTCAACATGTATTGTCTTTGTCTCCGTGTATCAAAGATTCACTCACTTACTCTCAGTGTACAACTCAAAATAGCCTACAATCAAAATCTTTGACTTGCGATCACTCGGGTTTTTCGACGAACAAGACACACCATAATATAATATTACAACAATAACTCAACAATGTCTGGGGAGGGGTGGCTAAGTTATATGTCTAGTCTCTTAGGAGCTCGTATGACTCTTCCACTGCGGGTTTGGGCCTGAACAGTATTAAATAAGAAACTTCCAGCCAACTTGGCAGGGAAAAGTCACTGCAATACTGTAGAGTCTATCAAAACAAAACTATCCGATGTTCTCCGATGCTATGGCAATGTGGTGTTTGCTCAATTAGAGCAAAGGGCAAAGCCTGTCAAGGGAGGAATCGAGAGGATAATTGTAGACTTTGTAGTTGTTCGCTCAAGATCAAATTCAGAAAATTTAAACATTTCCATTCAGAACCTTTTCAGGGTCTCTGAAGGATTTCAAGGTGGCAGTGTTGGAAATCTGAAATTGGTCTAGAAATAGAAAGATCAGACACATCTTATCTAGTGCGCCATGCCTGTGTAGGTATGATAAGAAACGCTTTTGAACTTGATAATTTCATCTACTTGAGCCTGCAGAAAGTGAAGGAGGCCATGATTGAAGTCCTCAAACAACAGAAGGACAGAAAACATCAGATGACAATTCCATTGCTGTGAAGTTCAGTTATAATATTTCTGAAAGTTGGTCATCAATGATGCTCTTTAACAGCGGAATAACAACAATACTGGTTCTCGTAGACAACAATTCTTGTCTGGTGAGCACATACAGTGAAACACGGTAAAAATCAACCTTTGGCCAAGAACGCCCATCACATCTTTCCCATGAGGGAAGTTGTTTACGGCTGTTTCTTGCTTGTTTTTGGCAGTTAACAATTTCGTGATGATTCGTGAAGAATATTCAGGTGTAATAACGCTTTTGACAACGCTTTCTCAATTATTTTCTGTTTACACGCCAAAGATCTGTATTGTAATGAGTGTTGTTCCTTGGAGCTTTCCCTTGAGAGATGAGGAAAAATTTTGA